ATTCTCCATTGAATGGTATACTCGGCATTCCATGATCAGCCTCCTTGTTGTAGATATTTTCTACCGAAAAATAGTTATGATCGAGCCTACTGATACGCGGAGGGAAAATCCCGCATACTAGCAGCTCAAACGGAGGCGTTGTGCAATGTTTGAGGGATAAAAAGACGCCGTAAATTACTCAACTGTCAGCTCACGACGGGTGGCATGGTAAAGGCGAAGTCAATGAGGGGCGAAGAATAATACGTGGCCAGTGGTCGGCCTAGTCCAATTAGTTATAGCCGACCGTTGGCCATTCCTCGGCCACCTGAAAGCGATCAGTTGCCGCGAAGAAGGGTCTGTTACGATTATTTAGTTTCTTACGCAAATAATAGCCGGCTCAAAACTATTTACGCACATTGAAGAAAGCCAGGAAACTATAGTTTATGTCGATAAAATTATTTTAATTATATTCGTGATATTAATCTGTTCACTTATTGAATGATTTTCAAAAAATGATTACTGGTTACTTTGGAAGTTTACTGAGAGTTTCCTCTGCTGTCGACGTGAATAAAGGAATGCTGTGGATAGGGGAGGATGTGGTTTCAAGAGGAGGTGCATGGGGAAGAGTAGGAAGGTGGGGCAGCGAACAACGGGGGACTGAATGATTGAGGGAGTTGGAGGAAAAGGATGAATGTAGAGAGTAATTGGTGAATGAATTAATTTCTTAAATAATTGGGTCATGTATCGAGTGCGCGTAACATATACGGGACAGAGCAGCGTGCTTTGTCAACTAGTGTATTATTCAACGCCCCAAAGCTAAGTAAAAAAATTTGAAGACAGACTTATTGTACACTTTTAATTTTACAACAGCTTTTATTTTACATTACAGTCTCATTGTCTTTCCTGAAACCTCTGTTATATGTCATTCCTAGTAATGATGTATTCTGTTCATTAATATTATATATATTTTTTTATGTTTGGAATACTTCGTCACTGTTCAAAAACAATGAACAGTCAGGGAACTGGTGAAGAAATAAAAGGCTAGAATAATCGAACGCCTCCTCTCCGAACGAAGGGAAGGGTTGGAAGTTATTTATTGCTTTTAGCCGATGGTCGTGTCAGAGTGTGGTGTGTCCCCTTGTCCCCTCACCTACCTTCTATACCTATACATAACTGTATAGTATGTATAGTTATACTATATCTATATGTATGTATACTACTAAAACTATACACATTAATGGACTGACTGACTGGTATCATTCATTAATAGATATTGTAATATAGCAATGTTAACTAATTTATAATTTGTAACATTGAAATGCAATCGTTTTTTGAGTATGAACTCATGGATTAATGGACAACTCCATCGCTAATATCGCTCGAAATATTTTTACTAGCTGCAAACGGATTAGTTTGTTATGATTTTATTCGATATTTAATTTGAAGCCCTTCCATAAACATCAATCGCAATATTAGGTGCGAGAAATTTCAAATCATAAAATATGGTTAAATTATGGAGAGATTTTCAGGCAGTTTGTTGATTTGATTGTCACCTCAGCCTCCACAGAAATTCGATAGGTAAGGGTATAAGGGTATCTGTTTTCCCCTCCGAGCTCACTCTCTTGTTATCATCTATCCACCACATTTGTAAACAAGCTTGTGTTGTGAACCTCGCAGAAAGTGGCAGTCTTTTTGACAGTCTTTTCTAATCTTGAAACGTTAAAAAAAACAACAGTGTAGCTGTTTAAAACTATTGGTGCCTAAAAAGCAGTGAAAAGGTTAGAAAAACGCCAGTGAAAATGAAAGCTTATACTGTAATCACTAACCATGTACAATGTGCTGCTGCTGGTAATTCTAATTCTTATACAATTTTCACTGGAATCAATTGACAGTTATTATGAAAAATATCACAAAGCAATTGACCGCTAATTCTTACTCTGATTAATAATAATTAATAATAGCTAATTATTGGCCGTAAATTGCCCGTTGATGTAGTAACGGACCTCAAATTTTTAAGTCGTTTGGTATTCTATGATATGATATTCTTTTTATTTCATGACATGAATATTCTCTCACTTGCCATTTATTATAATGAAATGCATTTTATTCATGAGTAATTCGTGGAATGAATGTGCTACTGATAGAAGTAAAGCTAGCATCATATATTACCAAATGACAATTTGTAATTTAGATTATTTACATAATAACATTCAGTTCATACTGAACATAACACAAGACGCGTATGCCAGCTGTTTAATTTTCACCTGTCCCTGTTATTGACGATACGAGGCAACAGGTTTTGCATGTAAAATGATCTAAGTTGCTCTTCCATGCGTTCTTGCCAAAACTTTTTTTCCATTTCAATAAGTTCAATATGCATATCTCCCGGGATCCAGGTCACGAAGATGCACTTGCTTCTCCCCGTAATCCTCAGTTGTCCTTGAACTTGATAGAAGTATGAATGTCGTCTGTTCGGGCACTTAATTTCAACAATGGCACTTAATTTCTGCTCGGGCACTTAATTTCAACAATGTAATCATTGCCTACGAGACCATCGGGCGAGGCGCCCAAGAATAGATAGACTTTATCTACAAAAAGACCGCAGCCCCTAATTGAGTATTAGGGGCTATTGTTAGTATTATGCCCCTACTAATTGTTATTGTTATGCAGTGTATTGTTAGTATTATGCAGTGCCATTCTACACACATCCGTAAATAGCGTTTTCACATCAAAGATCCTCCTTCCAGATAACGTCTCTAGCGTTTTTTCAAATTGCCCTAGGATATCATTATTTGTAGAAAAGTGATCATTCGCAACATCCACGTCGCATGGTTCCATCATTGCGTTTTTCTTGATGTTTTCATCGAGGTTTGAATTTAATGTTTGATCAATATTTTCGACGATACTTTCGCTTGTGAAGGTATATCTAACAATAAAAATATAATATGGAGCACGAAAGCAACCATTTACAATTACGTTTTAATGCACATTAAAAGTAAACTGAAATTACTATGTGAATTTTCAGTGCTTGTAGCAATAAATTGTAACAATCATCAGGTTATTCGCATATTTTTCAATACGAGTATTGAATGTTATGAATCTTACCTCCATCTTTTCAATTGGAGTCCTTCATTAATCCGTTATGATGAGGGACACAGCCTCGGACTTTTAGGTTGCTTACGAGAGAACCTCATGTTCTCACTAGTATCGCCACTGACAAACTAACAACAAAAGTTTGTTATTCAAACGTCTGAGCCCTTTAAAATCTCCACCCTAGAAACACTTCTGGGAGGAGATTGGAGGAAAAGGGCAAGGGAAGAGGGAGGTCCCTCTTGAAGCGCCAACTGACTAATTGGCATCCCGTGGCCCTTTTAAAGTACTGTACGACAATCAAGCGATGGTGAAACGACTGTCAGGAATACAAAATTTAGATGGATACAATTATTTGAAATAACATGATCGTTCAAGTTGTAATAAATGACAACTTAATAATAAATTGTGCTGTTTATGCATTCATTCTCTTCATATCTTAAAACTTAATTACGATTATCTCTTCGTAATCTGTACAAAAATTTTAGCGCGACCTCCATTTTATTTGGAAGGAAGAATCCATTACAACAAAAATCGAGGTGGAAAGGAAACCGCTCTGAACAAAGCCTTTATTAATTCAGAACTCTGTTCATGGGAACACGCATCGTAGCTTTAAAAATTATATATCTAGATTTTCCTCTTTCATTATCATATGAATCATCCTATTACAATCACAATAATAATAATTTGAATCAGTAATTCAGTATGACAGTAAGTCAGTGGGCCGAGTCTGACATTAATATTAAAAAATTATTAAGCGATGGCAGAGTATTGTTGAGGGCTCCTTTTAATCATGAAATTTTTTTACAGAAGTAGAATGATATGAATTTAAATACATTTCTTAGCCGTTTGTAATGAATTTCTGACATTTAAAATTTCAAGATCGACATGAATGCTCCCATGATTGCATAGTACCATATAGGTTTAGAATTCAATATGCTCTATTCTAGCTCATTTAATTCAATAATTTGCATTAAAATAATCGTTCGTGTGGTAGCAAATGGGAAATTTTATATTAAATTGTGCTGTTTATGCATTCATTCTCTTCATATTTTAAAACATTATTTCGATTAACTCTTCGTAATCATCCTAACGAATGATGCTCATTTACGATCACCTTAACAACATTTTCATATTATTGAAGATGCATGGAAACATGCATTGTTAGTTTAGACCCGTTAAAAGACTCCGCAGCTTCAGACAAGGGCTCTGAAAGCTGATCGAAAGGAACTGCGAAGAGAAGAGGGAGGGAAGAAGGAATGTTTACCTTGAACGACAGAAGATTTATTGCCACAGCGTAGGCTCGCCTACACTCAGTACGAGAATGGCCGGGTCAGGCCTTGCTTAAATCTACGGAATTTTCACTTACCACTAATAATGTCGACTAATATCTAATGCTAAAAGAATGATTCAGAAATGCTTTGTGTAGAGATCAATGAAGAATAAATAGTTAAATTAACTTGTATCGCGAAAATGTTAGAAAATGTTGTCGCGCTAGAAAAATTCGCTCATTTTACGATCTTCATATGGTTTAAAATTTTTGTTCGTGATAAAAGTGATAATACATAGTTTACATAATATATCTTACTTTCCGTTAATTGAAAATAATTAGCCAGATCACCATTCCAAATTTCAGACTTGTATCTTATTTAGGAGGAGAGTTATTGGTTGCCTTCATTGTTAAGAACCCTCATAGGAATTAACGCGCCTGGCAGCCGCTCCACCGGCCTCTTAATACCTCCCGTCTACGATGTGGAAACAACATTTTATAATATAAGAGACGAGTGCAACACTATTAGAATATTACATTAATATATCAATTTAGCAATATAAGATTTTCCTTGAACCGCTGTTTCGTGTTGAGCTGTTGTTATTACACTTGTATATAATGCGGTTCAATTTATAATTTATATGTTTTAATTGCAGAAAGACATTATAAGCAAGATAATGCCTAATAGATTCTACTTAAAATAATGAAGAATCTTGGGCCGAAATATTCTCTGAAGACAATTATTCCGGTTTGTTTCGCTGTCATCGTATTAGTATTAGGGATTCAGGTGCTCACCAATAATGTCATTAGAGAAAGTATCGAAAGTAAGTTAACGCGTCTTCATGTTTAATCTTGTTCTTTAATGTCAAGTTTTCACGACTGATATAAATACTTATAATAACACTTGAAATACATGTAATTTCTTCTTATATTCAAAGAACGAATGATTTGACTGACGTACTTTTTTAAATTTAATCGTAGATTTTGAATGCAATTTCATTCCTTCAAATTTTTTTTTTAATTTGGAGCAGAACTTCTCATCGCTAACACCTTGAAGCCAGCGAACGGAACCGAAATGACACACACTTCCCCCGAGATGGAGGACTTGTTTTTCCACCCTGACCTCGTGGGCAAAGACATGCGAGACGAGGCCGTCATCCAGGCAGCTCGAGAAGCCCTCATCGCGCCCGCCCGAGAGGGTCCTTACTACCTTGACAACCCGCGCCAGGTGTTCTACTCCCAGCACGGCCAAGACCAATACGTTGCAGCGATTTTCAATAATACGGTGAGCTTACTCTTGACTATATATTCTTTTCCACTTCACGAAGCTAAATTAATTAGCTTACAATGAAAATTACTATGCGAACAAATTATTTAGTACGCGTAATAAATTTGATGTCAACTGGAATCTTGCTACCCAATTTATTGGTGGTTATTTGTTGATCGCCTAATCCAGAAAAGACTGAACCCACATAGCTGGAATTGAATCTCTACCCTAGAGTAGGACTCCCTGGCCTATAGTGGGACTCTTGCCCTGACGTGGTCTTCACCTTGGCGGACCTGTTCTGTGACGATTCTGCCGTGTGACAAGTCTTAGACAAGTCTTCAAGGATACCGAAATTCTTGGCTGAAAAGCTAAGTTCTGTCAATCTCATGCAAACCCAAGAAACATGTTAATTTCTTATCTGCGCAACGGCTGTACTGATATCAGTTTTGTGGGTTCAATCTTTTTTGTATTAGGTACATACAACTACCGTAAATGAACATCTCTACCAAATCCGAGAAATTTGCTATTTTCTGACCTGTACAGCGGCTCCATTAAATTCAGCTATTTGGGTTCAGTCGTTTTTGGAATAGGTCTTCAACCAATGACTACCACTTGGATCTCAAGCAAACCCCTGAAAGTTATTTTTTATCTACAGCGGATCTATTAAGTTCAGCTATGAGGGTTCGGTCGTTTTTGAAATAGGTAATCAACTGAGAACTACAACAAATAAACATGAATCTCACAACCAAATTCCGAGATATATGTTAATTGTTTATTTGTTAGCTTCGCAGCTGCGCTATCAATTTCAGTTATATGTGAATGCGGTAAATTCTTCATTATACCTCCATGCGTTTCAAGCGCAAGGCAAGACTGGTTGGCAATGAGCGTATTTGAGCGCCTATATGCATGGTGTGATGATGTTGGGTTCAATTGATTGATATGAAGTTTTTATATTTATTCAAGAACAGTTTAGAATCCCGACCATTACTAGGTAGACTATTAAAGTACAGAGAGACTACTGAGAGACTATAAAAGAGACTATAGAGAGGAGAGGGACTTCGCTCTGTCCTGCCGAGACAAACAAATGACAGAAATAAATATACGTCGGAATGAACAATACAGAAAGATAATTCAAAAATCCAAAATACAATAATTCATAGACACTTAAAAAAGAACACTAATCCAAATTCACTCGTACCTGAGAATAGCGTACTACAGCCTATAATAGCTCAGTCAGCCTCACAGGGACATCAGAGACAAAGTGCTCTAACTTGACTGGCTAGGCCTTATCCGCACGACAAGTAGTGCGGATAACCTTCTTACACATGGTTTATTCATATTCTTAGAGTTGTTTGTCGGAACTTTTCTTGAATGCATATCAATATTGGTAAAGATTTGAGATGAAACAACGTATCCTTCTTGTTCTGCAATTATTGTGAAATAGTTGTAGCGGATTCGTTTTCCAATGGAAAATTTTAGGCTGTAGTCAAAGTCAATTACTAACATTGATTACAGGAAAGAGGCTTCTTCTTCGAAGTAGGAGCGTTGACGGGAGAGAGCTTATCTAACACGCTGTTCCTCGAACTGGACCTCGGCTGGACGGGCGTTCTGATGGAGCCCACGCCCGTCAGCTACCACGTCCTCAAGAGCAAGAACAGAAGAGCGCACATCATGCGGGCGTGCCTCGCTCCCGACACCAGCTACAGGGAACCTGTCTTTGAGTTCGTGATTCACGCTAGCACGCTTTTTTCCTTACAAAATTCGGGTTCCGCCTAGGCTTCTGCCCTAAAGTCGCTACATTCGGCTTAAAGTTTTTTCTGGGTCTTCTTTGCCACCAGATCGAAAGCAGCTTTTGGTCAGAGTATTTTTGCTCAACACAGTCGGAAGACTAATTTGGTAATTTCGAAATATTTAGTTAGTGCAGATAGTTATCGGTATTTTTTCTGATGAGTGATCTTATGGAAAATGATAGTTGGAGGATCGTACAGGGTGATTAACCTAAATTTATTTATTTTAAAGCTCAAAAAAATAATATTGATAGCATTACAATATAAATTTATTGAATAATAAATTACCTGAATTTTTGTATTACCTAGTTTTAGAGATGATATCGGACAAATAGATGGCCCCCATTGTCAGTGCATTCAGTTTAAAGATTAATTTGATTTAAGATAACCACATAAAAAATCACTTTGAGCCAAATCGAGAAATCGGGCTGGCCAAAGGTCACCTCGCGAGATGAGGCGTTCTGCAAAATGTTGTCTCAGAAAATGTGGAAACGCCTCTCCAACTCTCTCTACGTTTTAAGGTGTTGTGGCAGTTCGCTGACCTGCAGACCCTCTTGCATTCACACATCCACTTGCTCTAAATTTGTTTACCCTCGTAACAATTGATTTTCGTTCAGGAACCCGACCAGAAGGACGAATACGGAATCGAGTACGGAATGCTCGTCGAATATCGATAATGGAACGGCCATTAGAAATCACGCCTCGAGAGCAAACGCACGCTGTTCACTTGTCCAATGCACAGTGGCAACTGATTAGGCGGAACACAAAACTTCATAATCTTGCCGTACTTATGAAATACATACTTCCCGCTCCTTGCCTATAGCATTTCGCTGCTTGGCGCGAAATATGAAAAAGGAAGTTTCCTCGAATCACCTTGTATTCACCCACAGTATCGCAGGGGAGGCGTGGGCCAATACCCTCATGAATGCGGAGAAGACAGAAGAATCCTTGCGGGTTCCATGCTATCCTTTGTACAGCATCCTGGCAGCGCTGGGCAATCCTGTGATAGATTACATGTCACTCGACGTCGAGGGCGTTGAAATGAAGGTAAAAAATTTTTTGGCCATAATCTTTCAGGATTGTGCTACATATCATACTAGTATGGGAATATGAATAATTTGATGCTAATTTTTGGGTAGTAATGGTGATAACATTATAGTGGTTATGAAATCTTCATGGTATGATTACGGTGTTACATTAATTTCGAAGGAAAATAGCAATTAAAATACGTGAAACACGATATTTAATTTCCTATGAAAATAGTGCGTCGAATATGGTTAAACATAGTCGTTTCAGCCTTAGACAGTCAGTCCAATGAATGTAGTTAGGATTAACAGGGTTTATTATTTTGCAATTAATTACTACCAATAACCCAAAAGCTTCAAGATCTTGGTCGTGATTGTCTCAGAGACAATTTCTGGGTTTGTGTGCGGCAGGTGCTGAAGAGCATCCCGTGGGATGACGTGAAGATCAGAGTGATCACCATCGAGATCTTCTTAATTCCTGAAGGCCCTGAAGCGCTCAGGACGTTCATGGAAGATAAAGGCTTCAAGTTTATAAAGCAACTCAACCAAGACTATTTGTTCATCAATAAACAACTCAGTGGAGGTTTGAACTTAAATTTCGCAACCTGAGAAGCTCCGGGTCGCCTGCCGAATACCACAACTGCCCTGGATGTAATGGACCATCATGATTCCTGCCTTCCGGAACGTAGCCTTCAACACTTCAAGCCGTCCGTATCTAGGCCGTGGGTCGAACCTGATGCGGTGAACGTAAAATTACGTAATTTAACGATGCCCGGAAGTCATATTCGATCCGCGGCCTGGTGGTGCACGGCAGGTGGTGGTCAAGGCTGGAAGAGGATAAAGCCGAGTGGAGCACGGCTGATTGGTGGATGTCCGGAGAGATCCAAGGCGTTCGATTCAGGGCTTATTGGTGCACAAAATTGGTAGTGCACGGCTGCGCTCCCAGAAGCTCCTGACGAAAATCAGACGGTTATTTTCTATGAAAATTTTCACAACAAACTCGCCCTGTTCGTGAACTCTATGCATTAATCCATCCTATACTGCACCCCGAAAATGGGTTTCCGTCACAATTGGTTTATACTCAAATTAAGAAATTCATGTCTAGGCAATATAACGAAGTTGTACCCGATTGTGACAGTAGGAACCTGATTTATTGTTCTTTTCCCTACTTTGGTAATGCATATGAGACTATGGCTAAGGAACTGAAAGTTTTAGTAAATAAATATTTTCCGAATGTTAATCTGCAAGTGGTGTTGGCGAATAACTTTAAAATCGGCTCATTATTCATGTATAAAGATGCTCTCCCGCTTTTTATGCGTTCGTCCCCAGTATATAGATACAGTTATGCGCCGTGCGCATCAGCGCACGTCGTATGACGTCTCGCAATTTTTACACTAGGCTGGCGGAGCATAAGGGCAGAAGTTTTAGAGCCGGAACATTGCTTGCGCATCCTCCTCATTCAGATGTGCGCGTCCATGCCGAGCAGTGCAATGATCCGGTGTCCGATAGTGATTTTAGAGTTCTAACTTTCACGACCGGTGTTTCTGACCTACGAATTTTAGAATCCCTGTGTATTTTCAAACAGAAACCTAGTTTAAATGCAGCCTTCAGCTCCTATACCCTTGAAATTTTAAATAGATAGGCCTGTCACCTCATGTGCATTTGTTTTTTATTTGTCAATTCAGGCTTTTATCGTCATTGTAAATTTTAGTTTTCTAATTTATTCTGCTTGTCTTATAAGTTTTGAACTTTTGAACTGACGATGGAGCTAGTTTCCGAAACGTCTTCATTCTTTAAAAATGGTGAATTTTTTGGCTGTTTTCTTTGCTTTTAAATTATTGATAAACTTGCGATTTAAGCAATCAAGTGATTTTGATCATCATAAATTTACTGTCCTGCTTTGCTTTAGTTGTTTATGGTATATTTATGATATATATCTATATAGATATTTGATTTTGCAATGTAGATATTTCAATAACTTGTATTGTTTGAAGTTTTTTGTTGCATTATCAGACCACGTTCTATTATTCAGTCATGCATTCTTTTTTATTCAAACCCTAATGCAGGATTCTTCAGTCATATATTCTATTTGATTTAATTATCTATATGGTTCATTTGCAACCCTTCTATCCTGCACTCATTCGTATTTTACTCTGTCAATGCTTGTTCGCAAGTTCGGCAAACTGTGTACCATCGCATTGATTTATTTATATTCAACAAACATTGTTATTCAATGTGTTATTCAACTCAAGTAACGCGTGGCTAAAACAACACAAGAAATTTACTGGTTCAGTCCGGCAAGGTTCCTTCAGCTCGTCGCCATTCGCCTAGCAATATGACTTGTGCCGCGGCTGCAGTCGGCGTAAGGCTTTATATGTTTGGCGGTGCTGCTCTTCGACCGAGATTCTAACAAACTTCAGACTCGCTGGTCTATAATAACGTGCAGGGCAAGTGAAGGCAACGCTCGCTCGTATAATTTTATCAATAACGTGCAGGGCAAGTGAAGGCAACGCTCGCTGGTCTATAATAACGTGCATGGCAAGTGTATAGGCAACGCTCGCTGGTCTATAATGACGTGCAGGGCAAGTGAAGACAACGCTCGCTGGTCTATAATAACGTGCAGGGCAAGTATAGGCAACGCTCGCTGGTCTATAATGACGTGCAGGGCAAGTGAAGACAACGCTCGCTGGTCTATAATAACGTGTAGGGCAAGTGTAGGCAACGCTCGCTGGTCTATAATAACGTGCATGGCAAGTTAAGGTAACGCTCGCTGGTCTATAATAACGTGCGGGGTTGTTAAGGATTGCAATAGGGCTTCTGTAATTTATTGTTTAACGCTTTGATTCACCTTACTTCATTGTATCGGAATCCCATCACAGAGAAAGGCTCCGAAACGCGAGTCCGGAGTTAGGAGAAGAGCTAAGGAAATGCACGGTTTATTTATTTGTATTCTCATATCCATCATTTGTTTATCATTACAGTTATTTAATAAATGTTTGGGGAAACCGAGAGTTTGTTTGCTTAATTATCGAATAGTCCCCAACAGGGTAAGTGAAAAGCAACGTTTGATTTTCTTTAATTAGCCAACGGAGAAGTGAGGCGTTTGCACAACTCGACGTGTAATCGACTGCATTTTAATTGTCACTTGCGATCATCATGTAACCCGATTCTGATCATTTCTGTTACATTTGTGGCATATTCACCCCAAAAGATCAGAGTAAAAATCTGGCCTCCAAGGTGAAGATAGCATACAGGCACTATTTTGGCTGTCAAGTTGGGGACCAGGATAAAAATTGGGCACCTCATATCTGCTGTTCTAACTGCTATGTCAGTTTAACACAATGGTCAAGCTCAAAAAGAATGAGTGCCATTTGCTGTTCCAAAGATCTGGATTTTTCCTTTGCATTTTCCCACTTGGGAAATGTTTTTTTCCCAATTGGATTTTTTCCCTGGAAACCTTGGGGATATAAGTGATGAGCATGGTGAGCGTTTTCAACAAGATATTGCGCTTTTGGAAAGTCGGTATCAAGGTCGAATTGTTCCATATATGATGGGAGACTATTGTTGGTTGCTACAAAGGGAGGAAGAATCTGCTCACCATTGCAAATCAAGAGGGAAAAAGCATTTTTAAAATAAATATCATAGCAATTAAGTAAGATTTATTTTAAAACTGTCTTGATTACCATTTTTTATATTTTGATTACATAAATAAGATTTTTGAAATGTATAATCCAATATTATTTAATCATGTTCAGTTTACCAAATGTTGCATTTTTATGAATTTAATAAAAATTATTTTTTAAATATACCGAAAACTATACGTGCTAGAGTACTTCTGATTGCAGATTTGAAATCAGCGACCTCGATTCCTTAACATAACATAACAAATTGATCTCAGCGCTGAAGTGTAGGCCTGATGTAGCCTGTCGCCGATTCTTTTCGCCGAAGATCTAATATCGTTTCATTTGACCGGATCTTTTCATGATCATTTGATCGGATCTTTTCATGAAAAAAGAGAAAGTTATTTTGGTTTGAGTCATGAAAAAAAAAATTTTTTGTTGCACGGTGTGATCGTTAGCCAATATTTCGTTTCGTTCAGAGTACATTTTAACATGGAATGGATTACAATTCGTTGAACCTTTTGAGTTTTCAGTAAATAAATATTATTCTTCATTATTAATTATCTCTTTGGGCCGTATGAGCTTGCTTCACTAAAATCACTGTAATAAATAGAGCATTATTATTATAACATTCTGAGGGATATGTATTCTAGGATACGAACACCAAATGCATGGGAGCATTCACGACACCATGAATATACAAACAGCTAGCCAAAGAATGTACATGAATATCTTGCTTGTCATGTATGCATGTCAAAAATAATTCAATGAATGAAAATTACAGTATCTTATCGACCCGTTCGTTGCATCAACGCATTCATATCACCTACGTATTCATTTTTACGACGTATTCATGTCAATGTTTTCAGCATTTCGACTCATTCATATGAAGCGCAAGTAACATATCAATGTTTCTACCTCGATGACGCATTTTACTTTAGAAACTATTGAACATGTAAACTCATTCGGTATATACACGCGTTCAAAATATACGGGGCATTCAACGTACGTGTCGACTAATTTGTTATAAGACAAATTTTATACAAATTCCATTCAACATATGGATGAGCTCAGAATGTCGACGAATAATTCATCCATTTTTGTGGCGTAGATGCAGCAGCAGGTACAAATGTACCTTAAATTGAAATTTAATCTAATTTAAACTAATTCATAGTCAAATAAATAATGCTATGAGTCAGCATTTGATATGGTATTGTGACCACTTGGGAACACGCACACCAGACATGTGTGTGTGCTACTAAAGCCACGTGATGTACACACATGTACATTAATTACGTGTGTAATGACGTATGCCAACTCGAATTGCCAACTCTCACTTTAATATGTATTTTAACACTTTAAATACCTTTTCCAATATTTTAAATTAAGAATGTTGGTCAAAATCTTGTTTTTAACCTTCAATAAGATTATATTTGCTCGAAAAAGGAGAGAAATTTTTTTTTGATGTTTTTATCAACAAAATACGAGTGCATGTGGCACGTGACAAAGCTAATAGTACGTGTAAGTGAACACCTGTGGTACGATACGCGTCCCAGCGCTATACACTTCCCCCCATGGTTTCCAATTGTCGGACGAATCCTGATTCATATTCTGAGTGATAAACTTTAAGCTACGTTTATACCGCTTGCGAAATTATAAGATGAGTTGATAATTTTCATGTGACATCATTTAATTTTTGTGTCTTGAATATTTAAGTTCTTGATTTCTCTTTCTATTTCTCCAAATATGCATTAAATAAATGGAATTATCTACCCACCTCTCATCCTACTATGTATATATTTACACTAATATCCGTAATTTCATTCCCATTGTATTACTAATGAAAGTTACTTGCAGTAAATTAGCAAATAATTAAATTAATTTTAATATCAAATGAGGTAGATGGAAAATTACCGAGAATTCCACCTCAAACTCATCACAAAAAAATATGCCTTGGTACTGAATTTACAGGTGAATATAAAAAAGCAAGATACTAGTTCCAATCTTTTAATACAAAAAATAAATAATAATAACA